AGTAGTGGTTTAACTTTATGACAAATTTCATAGATGCTAGCTAGGAAATTTGGCTGTTTTCGTAAATATAATTTTAAAGCTAATAAATTATCACCCCCGCCTTCATCCCCCGTACACCCCCCCCCCCCTGACTTTCTCAAAGAATTTGTACAATATATTATCAAAAAAGTTGATAATTTTTTAAAATAATGGCTATTTCAGGAAAAAAAAATACTTTCTTATATTTTTTAAAAAAAATGACAAACAAAAATGATTTTTATAAAAAAATGTAACATAACCGAAGACCTATAATCAGCTGTTTCCCCCTCTTCCTTAGCAAAAATCTTGGACATGTCTATAGTGAAATGATATCTTATCAATATACAATATTGTGAAGAAGCATACAGGAATTTGGACTCTCTCGATTTTAAATTATATACCGAGGACGGTTTTTAAATTTGAATTTGACCGGAAATGTATTCTAGCTGCCAATATTTCCCTGAACTTTTTAAACTAATTTTAATAATATTTTCCATATATAAAAAAAAAAATATAGACAACGGCTAAAAAAAATGTCTGAAAAATTACAGTTTGGTCTATACATACCGGAACACATTTCCGATTAAATAAAAAAATTTCAAATTTAAAAATTGAGAGAGCCGATTAAGGATCTGCAGAGTTGTTAAAAGATACTTTTTAAATGGATCTAGATACAGATACATCATTTAAAATAATATCTAGATACAGATATTTTAACCACAAATCTATCTAGATACAGATACCACATTTTTATAACTAGATCCTTTAACAACTCTGGTGATCTGCATCGGGCCTAATTTTTAAAGCCTGGTCCGGCCGAAATTTTTTTTTCTAAAGTTTAGCCCGGCCCGAACCCAAAATATTTTTAAAAAATTTTGCCGGCCCAGCCCGAATTTATTTAAATATAGAAATTAATTTTTATAATTACTCAAAATAAACGATATAATATGTTATATGGCGTCTAATTTCTATAAATAAAATCACATATTTTTATTTTAACAATATAAAATTAAACATAAAATTGATAAATTTAGATATATTTTAAAAAATTTCTAAGGCCCGACCCGGCCCGGCACGAATTTTCTTAAAAAATATTCGGCGGATTCGGGCCGTGTACGGGCCGGGCCCACTTTTGCAGATCTCTAGATCCGATTCCCAATTGATTCCATATCCGCTTCCGGCATATACTATTCCTATTCCCAATTTTACAGATTAAAAGAAAGTTGTAAAAAAAAACAACTAATAAAGGATCGTTTCATAATTATTTTCACTTTTAGTTCACTTTAATTTATTCATGATTTATTTATATAATTTTATTTTTTAAATAAATTTAATATTTTTTATTTCATTAAAGGAACAGGCAAGCAAAACAATGATCAAAGGTTTTCATCACACAGGAATAGCAAAAAAAAAAGGTTTAAAAAATTTTTTTTGATTGGTTTATTTTAAAATATTTTTTTTTGTTAAACAAATCATGGGGTAAAAACTGTTTGGCCACCTAGACAAAAATATTTTTCGTGAGGAGTTTAAAAGGATTGCTACAAATTTATAAAATATAAAGATAGCTAGAACCTAGAGTGCTAATAATACAGATAAATATTGTTTTCCCATCCATAAGATAAGGTTTTTTTTTAAATTATATAGTTATCAATATTTTGATATTGATATACCGCTCCTAAAAGGCTATAAACGGAGGCCGAAAATAATAGTCGCGTCTAAACGCTAAAACCCAAATTAGGCGATTCTACAACACTTGATATATCAGTGATAATTATATTTTATATTCTTATGGTACCTGAATGAAAGAATGACAAAACCTCCTACAATTAATTTGGGTAAATCATCTATTCAATCATTAATGAGCCTTCAGCTCAATAGTGGCTTTATTAGGTAATCCTTAAATTGATAGGATATTTTTTCTTAAATATCGATCTCATTGACGACATTTTTAAGTTCAAATAAGGTTAGTAGAGCTAAAGTTGTGCAAGAAGGAAGATTTATTAAAACTTAATAGACAGATCAATAGAAGTTTTTTTTTTAAATTTCAGCAAAACTAAAACTCCCGAAGAGAATAGGAATAATGAAAGGAGAATAAGATTTGAGATTTCTATTATAAAAAAAATTAATTTAAGATCAAAATGATTCCATTTTAAAAAGGTAAGATCAATTTTTTGTACCCTGATGAACCTAACTAAATCATAAATGGTATTTTGTATAATTTTTGCAATTATAATAATATTTGAAATACAAAAAATTTTTTAAAATTTGTTATATTTCATCTTGAAAGATTCGTTATGCATGAAAATTACAAAAAATTAGGGTTGTGCCGATATTTTCAAAAAAAACTTGATCCGATTTTTGAAATTTATTTGTAAATGTTTACAAAAAAATCGAATTATTTTAAAAGAAAAATATGAAGTTCGGCAACAAGAAAGGGATCTTAAGATATCTAGCGTTTCGTATTCAGCTAGCGTTACGGCTCTTTTAGCCGATAGCCGATTTTAAAAAAAGTCTGAACTATCTGTAGATGGTATAAATGTTTGGACATCGGTGAAATTTAGAGACGTGGGTAATAATATTTTGGGTAAATTCTTGATTTCGCCATTTTCGAGAATATAAATATCGGTTATCGGATAGTGTTTGTAATAATATCTGGACCGATACAATTTTTTAAAAAGATTTTGCCAACTTCTTTAAAAAAAAAAATATCTACAAAGATTTTTTAAATTTTGTAAAAATAACATAATAATAAAAGTATATAATATGATATCAATAATTACAAAAAGGAAGGGAATTATAATTGGAGTTTATGGTTAGTTTTTTTTTGAAAAAAAATATTTGTAACCATATGGAATATTAATTTCATAATATGTATATAAAATAATTTTTTTGAAGGGGGGGGGGGGGGATTATTGAAATAAAAAACGGGCCCTTTACAAAAATTATATATAAAATACAATGCAATTACGTATTAAAAATTATGGGAAAAATTATTTTAAACATATTATTAACACACATATTTTCTAATAATTAAAATAAAAAGATTTGAACCCAAAACCAGGAATGCCCATAATCGAGAAACATCTTTTATTGGATGGGAGATTAAAATATCTTATTTTAAATCATATTTTTTATTGTTTACATCTTTATATATATTATCACTAACTCATATTGGTGTTACCTTCAATCCTAACCTTAACATTTTCTAGGAGAATAATGGGTATTATTTTTTTCATAATAAATTTCCTGACTAAGAGCTTTTCTGATTGGCTAATTTAATATTTTAAAAAAATAAACTTGTAAGGTAAAAAAAACTTCCTGCAAATTTGCCAAGTTTGAGACTATAAAAATATTTTGGGTCAGGTCTTTTTAAAAGGTATATAAAAAATTCAAAAAATAACAAAATGTTTTTAATTGGTTTATCAGAATTAAGTGATGATTAGAATTTATCTATCATAAGGACAACTAATTAGTTATTTTACTCATTTATCTTTATAAAAATTTAATTAAAATTTTGGATCATGATAGGCTTGGTCTTGAAATAAAAATTTGGGCTAGGCCAGGCTTGAACTAAAAGGATTGAATTTACAAGGCCCTACACCAAGTCCATAAAATAGAAAAAATGTGGGCAAGCTCAGTCATATAAAAACCTTGTTAAGGTCAAATTTTATAAATAAATTTATATAAAAATTAAATGATGAATCATTCAAAATTAATTTTCTTCCTATGTTTTCATTACCTTAAAAATAATTTACAAAATTCAGATAATTATAACACAAAATAAAATTTTACAACCCCAAACTGGTGAATAAAAAGTCAACATTCTCTAGACTCCTTAATCAAAAGATACTAACAATCCATGCTTAAATATGGTCAAAACTAGAGCAGCAATCGTGTAAGTATTGGACTATTCTTGCACCGTCTTATTTCGACCCTCTTCTTGCAGGTTGAATGACAATTTATGCATCGGCATGGGTTATATTGGAATTATGGATTGAATATAGGATGAGGATGATGATAATTAGTATTTTATTAAACTACCCCCTCCCCTTTATAACTCTTTTCCCTGTCTTTTTTCCTTTCCCTACAGGATAAACGATTTTGACGAAGGCACTGATGATCTTAAAACCGTTAATAATAATGATAACAATTCTGGGTTCACTATAATAATGATAATGTGGTAAATAATGAGGATCCCGAGCATCGCTTGCTTAATACAAACAAGGATTATGGGGACACTATTGACTCTTCTAAAATGACAAAAGAAGGAAAAAATAAGACAAAGATAGTAAGCTCTTTAGGATAATGAGTTTCAGGGATTGAGATTACAATTACAGGGAAGTTGGATGCCTCCGGAATAGGACACTCTATATAGACATAACGTTATCTTCCGAGGATATACTTACCTAACATAAGAATTACTTTTTTTCCATCTCTAGGCGTCAGGTACAATATTATTAATATTGGTTACAATTCTACTATCTTGCCGGTAACGGAACTAATAGATCCCCTCTTTCATACTCCTCTCTTTACTATGCTAGCTGACCACATAGTGGTACCGTCCACTATAATAAAACTACATCATGTATAGGACTATATACTAGTGAATATACTTGGTGCACACTACAACTCCTGGTGGGTGATATAATTGCACTTCGTGCAATTTCTGGTATGGTAATGATTGACTGAATGAATTATAAAATGGATACTGACTAGGTATTTCCCCCTCTCTGTAATTTCAATAGCATTAATTGTAACACCATGATTAATATCATTATATAAACAAAAACAAACTGATATCTTAAACTTTGATTAAGTTAATATCACATTTAAGTTTGGCTTTCATATTTATATTATAATGTTTTAGTTTAAAAAATTTTCATAAGTGTTTACTTAAATAATTTATGAATATATAATATTAATAAATATTATTTTTCATAGTTTAAAATAAAATGCAATATTAAATGAGATCTAAAAAATACCTGTGGCCTCATTTATGGTCATTCTAGTAAAAGCATATTTGTTATATGGATTTTTATATTCATGTTGAATAATTTTGGTTTGAGAATAAAGAATATGTCCCAAGAATAGAATTAAGATAATAAGCATATTGAATTTTTACTATAAGCATTGAATATAAAACGATTTATAAATTATTTTAGTAGATATTGCATGCAGGTAATTTTGAATGAAATGCAATATGACGCATCTTGATAGATGTATTTATAGAGAATAAAAAATGGGGAATTTCACGTGAAGTGCACAGGTTAAAATCTTAAAATATTATATTTCATTCACACATTGGTGATTATGCATTACACTATTATAAATCTTCAACATAAAAGTATTAGTTTAATGGTTATTAAAATTAAAAATAGTATATATACACAGCTATGTCTAATCTTATCATGGCATCCGTTTTTAGGCCTATATAGGATTTTTATATAGGGAAGGGAGCACTATTAAGTCGGGTTGTAGATAGAAATTTTATTGGAGGGTTTTAGGTCCATTTGTTGTTGACTTGGCTATGACATTGTTTTACAAATATAATTTTGGCTTTTCACTTTTTTTAATATCTTTTTCTAAAAATTTTGAATCACAGCCGTTATTTTTTTAAATTATTATTTATTATGATATAGTATACATATTTTGTGCGATAGGGGTGTGTAGGAGGATTTTTTATTAACTTAAAATGATATTTACTAGAATAAAAAAATTTAAATAAGATAAGAAATTTCACACCCCTAGTTACACGGCTGCATCCGTCTAACTCATATATGAATAATTTCATTTAAGTAAATGGTATTAAAGGACATTTTTTAAATAAGTGTTAATAAATCATTTAGCTGCAACTTTAAATTCATAATAATTTTTAATATATTTATCATTCACATATATGTATAGCTCATAGGGCCAAAATTCCTATACCATGGGAAGAGCGTTTACATGTCAGTATATTCACTGGATGCAAACCCCCCTCAAAAATATATATTTACTTCCCTAAAAAAACCAAAATGTTATCCAAAGATAATTTAAAAATGTAATGGGAATTTTTTTAGATTATTATAGCCTACCCCCCAACATTCCTACCCCCTACCCCTTTACAGATATTAGGATGCAAACTGTTCCTACCCCCTCCCCGCTCATGTAGACACTGCATGGGAAGGAGGTCGGGTAGTATGATCTAATATTAATATTGAAATAGAGGGGGATTTTTATCTAGTTATGATTTGGTGCAAAGGAGTGGGCAGGAGCAAAGATAGGTAAGAGTAGTGTTGTTAACGGCTCAATTTGTTTCAATTTTATTAACAGCAAACTCGATTTTTTAGACAGTAATTATTTTCTATGCCATGAGATTTTGATGCCTAAACTCTAGTGCCATCTATGAGAAAAATCTTCATGTTTAAATAATATTTTTTATTTTCTGGATAAAATATGAAATTAGTTTTTAAAGATTAGATATATAACTGCCTAACAACATCAGATGGGGGCAATATGTTTCCAACATTTTGAAAGTGATAGCAGGGGGGTAGTGGATAGGCATCAGGCTAGGGTTAGAATTTATTTGTGGGGTATCTATTACTTTTTAGATGTAGAGCGAAATAATATTCTTGTAAAAATTTATTATAGACCTATTATAATATACATATACTGCTAAACATCGACCAATAAATTTTGAAATAAACTTCATTTCTAACAATATTTAATTATTATTCGTCATAAATGAGGGGAAGATAATTAATATTATTCATATTCTAAAAATTAACTATTACATTCACATTTTTTTGAAAGTTTAATATATTGATATAAGTTATTCTCCTTTAAATAGAATTTTCCACTACAATTAAAAAAATTACTATAGCGGGTCAAACGCTTTAATCGCATATCTTTATATTTTATAAATAGGTAATAAATACAACAAAATTAAGCTTGAGCTATAAATTGTATCAAAATATATAAATAACTTCGTACAAAAAATAAATATATATTTTATAATAAATCTAATATAATATAGTTGAATAAGAGTATACCATTATGGTAAGACTAACCATTCTTTTTTTACCTTACCGTTTAATGTATACCTAGTCTTCCGATTACTCATGATTAAATACTTATTAATCTTCACCTTTGTGTGTAGCTGAAAGGATGCTTAAGATATAATTAATTAAAACTAGATAAGATTCACAGCCGCTTTAAATATTTAAAAGCTATTGTATTAGAGGGCGGTATCAGTTTCATAAACTTTTTAAAAGGTCTCAGATGTACTATACATGGCGTGAAAGAGGGGCTAGATAGCTTTGCTTGTTTCTAGATCTTAAAAACATCTATATATAGTTAGAAAGATGATTAATATTCTTTACATTGTTAAATTTTAATTATAATATATTATATATGTAAATATTAATGAATAACATTTCACTAGAATGAAAAAAATCTTAAATATCAGTAGTATATAATAATTAGCTTCCCGAAGTTTGTCAAAATGTATAAAATGATTAAATATAAATAAGAACTGTAAAATTGACTATTTAACATGGTATTATACCTTTTTATAATATCCTTCATATTTCAATTCCGTCTTCAAATTTTGGCCAAACGAATAAAATCAATTATAATAAGAATTTCGTTATTTAATTTAATAGCCATTTTTTCACCAATAACTCTTAATTAAATTTTAATAAAATTTAAGTGATAAGAACATATATTTTATCTAATATATATAATATGAAATTATTATCATCATTCATTTATATCTTTGTTAGAATTGAGGATGCATAAAAAAAAACATAAAATATAAGAATAAATTAAAGTTACGAGGTTAATTTAATTTATTTTAAAATTTTACATCTGTTTTAAAACTAAAAATGTAATGCTTATATAGCATGTTACAAACAAAAAATCAATCTACATATTAATATAATAATTTACATAAAAAAATCAATTTTCACAATTTATAAAAAAAATCAATTTATATAAACAAAAAAAAAACAATTTAAAGGTTAGTATTAAAAGGTCATTACAACATTCCAGCTTTAAAAAAATGATCTCCACTCAGGTTTTTCTTGCATATCTTATCGTGCAGTCAACGTTTCTTGATAGTTATAAAATTATATTCCTGCTTGGTCTTTGTCTAACATGACTCTGTTCCTGTATTCCTAAATTATAATCATCATTTCTTCTAAAACTTACAGTAAAAGGTATTGCATTTTTAGTATTTGTTTTCAAATGTGTCGTTTCATCAAGAGGTGTGCTACTTGTAGACCTATTTTTTAATTTGGTCTAAATGTCTTCTAATAATTTTGGCTCCTGTATCCACTTCAAATATTAAATTCCCATTTTTACGTTTTGCCTTGCCTTTGTCCCATATATTATCCTTGAAAGTTTTATACCAAACTTTGTCACCATTCATGATATTTCTATTTGACGATAGATTGCGATTAAATTCATTCACTTTATCTTCTTGCGGTTTGATTAAATCCCATCTGGTTCTTATGGTTCTGTTAAACATCACTTCGCTTGGTATCTTGTTAGTTGTCGCGTTTGGTGTGTTGCGATAATTAAATAAAAACTTTTCTAAAGCTATATCTAAGTCTATTTTATTATTACTTTCCATATTCCTTTTCATATTTTCATTGATCTTATCATTTGCTCACACTGACCATTGGACTGTTGGTGGAGAGACGCGGTGAAAATGTGATCAATTCCATGATCATTACAAAATTTTTTGAACAAGCTTCTTGTATCCTTAGCACCCGGCTGTCCAGGCCTGTCGGTGACCGGGGTGTCATCTCTAAGCTCCAATATTTATCTTACCATATGTCTTTACACATCAGTCATCGAAGAAAAACCTGAAAATTTATATGCTCCTTACCAGGATTGAACCAGCGTCCTCTGTATCCTTCTATTTCCAAGCATACATCATTACCCATGGTCACCCCAGCGACTCACTATTAAATTAATTACCTTCATTTTATTCTGAATCCTGGACAAAAATAACAAAATAATTATTGTTATATTTTGATAAAATTATGTGAAACTATAAGGTAAGTAGACATTATTTCCACCTGAAACATGGAACATTTAACGTTAATGTTATATATAAGATATTTGGTGATTGACATGTTTTACATCATTATAAAATATTCACGTTGCTTAACATTGGCGACGAATTAATGATATCAAGTCATAGTTAAGAATCACTTTATCACGCTCACTTATTTAGATAATGATTAAAGATTGAAATATCATTCCACATATATTTATAGAATTTTATGTCATTATTTACTGGTTCATAAATAAATTTTAAAACCATCCTTTATCATTTCGATTCAAATTTATTTGATTTATTTGAGATCTTTCTTGTAAAATCAGAATAGGCTGCTAAATTATAAATATATAGTGATAACGGTTCCATAAAATATATTTCTTTTATTTTAAGTTAGAAAAAAATGTGTCAGTAAGAGTTTAAAAAAATTTAAAGTATTAGTAATGATAAATAAAAATATATTAATTTACAGATAAATCAGACAATAAAATTCCATATCGTAACACGATAACAGAGCTCCGTGAAATTGGCCGAACATTTGGAAGCACTAACGATGAATCATATGTTATTTTTTAGTGCTTATTAGTCCTTTAATCCTTATAGGAGCCGAATTTAAGGAAAAAAAGTTATAAGCAAAAATAAAAATTTGTGCCAACTTCATGCTTAAAAGTTGACTTAAAGCACTAACTATGAAATTTATATCATTCTTTAGTGCTTAGTTAGTAGATGTTAGTGCTTCAATCACTTTTGTAGCGAATTTAAGAATAAAAAGTTATTGGCGAAAAAAACAAAAAAAAATAAATATTGGCGATGTGCCAAAACAAAAACTAGAGTAGTACTAAACATCCAGTTTTTGCCATTATTTAGTGCTTAATTAATGTATTTAAATTCCGTTATTAATTTGGTTAACCGCCATATGGAAAAAAAAGTTATAATCTAAATAAAAATTATGACGTCACGATTTAAGCGTGAAGTTGGCCGAACTTTTGGAAGCACTAACGATGAAACTTATATCATTCTTTAGTGCTTCGTTAGTAGAGGCTAGTGCTTCAATCACATTTGTAGCCGAATTTAAGAATAAAAAGTTATTTACGAAAAAAACAAAAATAAACAAATAATGGCGACGTGCCAAAA